ATTTGTCCAAGATCCTTCCCAACATTTCCCTAAGAGACCGTGCGCCCTCCTTGTCTTGTTGCTAGCATTTTCCCCTCATCATTTTTGTCCTCTTAAAATGCCGTGCGTGAGGAATCAAGGCTAGAAGACCGTGCGTGCATGTTGCAATGGCCAAGAGAATCCTTCCTTGTCCTTATGTTGGTGTCTTAAGTCCTTAATTGCCGTGCATGTAAGAGAGGAGCATTGACCGGGCATTTCTCCACCATGTCTTAGAATCTCACGCGAATTATGGAGGACCAAGAGAGGAGCATGCGTGACAAGTGTTCCATGCCTTAGTGCATGTGGGAGATGTGTCCTAAGCATTGACCATAAATTCTTCCCCTAAGCCTCTCCTCTTCGGCGCATGCATAAGAAGGTGTTGGAGGAAAATTTGCAACCTCTCCACACATATTAAGTTCAAGCATATTTTCCCAACACTTAGAAATATTCAGCAAAAAAATACCGTAGCCTATTTTTACTCGCACGGCTAGTAGCTATCGCACGGCGCTCGTCGCAAGCTAGGCCACGCTCAAGTACCGCCCGGTTGATCGTACACAAGCAGTCGGCGCACCACAAGCAGCGCACGCGTAACAGAAGCACCCCACGGCAGTCAGCACCACGCATCGGTCAGGTGTCGCGAGCGTTGTCGAGTGTTGTGGTGGTCCGTCGACGCACCGCAAGACATCGCACACTATCGCACGGCGTCGCACACGCGGAGAGTCACGGCCAAGCACGGGAGTTCGAGAGTTTGACCTCTTGAGCTTATTAAGAGGTAAGTTCCCATCGGTTGTTAACCAAGACTATCATGTTTATTTAGTCCGACTCTCCCGTTTAGGCATGCATGTGTAGTACCGTGCGAGAGCCGTAGCCATGCCATGTTATAATTTATATTTTCCGAACTATCCTTGCATGTTTAGCTTTTAAATGCCATATCATGTTTTAATTAGCTTAAGTGTTCGGATGAAATTAGTCATGTTAATGGGGTTGGCCGTGAGGGGTGTGGTCGCACACTTAGTGCGCACCACGGGCCACCCGAGTGCTATTGCATGCTATGTTCAAACCTTCGACCTTTATGTGTTATTATGTTCAGCAAATCATGTTTAAGTTCAGTTTTAAGAGAATTGCCGAGATATAATGTGATTCGGTCGTTAAACGGCACGACGCCGTCGGCGGCGCTCGGCGCGCCCGTCGCGGCCTTAGTTCAGCCCTTGCGTGAATATTCATGTTTTCAGCATTTTTAGGCTTATATGTTCATATCATGTTATTTGAGGTCATGTTGTTCGGAAGATATTGCCGGACGGCCGGCAAGGGCCGG